GGGAATATAAAATGTCCGAAGTCAATAGTCAATACGTGTCAAGGACAAAGCAAGGCAAAAGGAGATACCAGGGGGGAGGGGGATCTTCAACATTTTCACACACATTCGCCGGCGTATACTCCACGCCGGCCCCGCCAAAATTTCATTTTTCTGTAAAATGTAGGTGGCAAAGTTAACGGAGAAGCACCACAACCACAAAGAAAAGGACCAAAATCAGTTGTATTTCTCTTCTCGGTTATTCGCCGTCGTCGCCTTCCGGCTTCTCTCCTTCCTCCGGTAACTTTCATTATTTCTCATTATTCGTACATTTGTTCTGTTTTGTATTTGCGATTGCTTGGATCCGTGATGCCTTCACCGTTTTTCAGTTGTACGGCGTTTTGACTTTCCTTGAGCTCATTATCTTCAGCTTATGCCGCATTTGCTAACCCTAATTGATGATTTGTACGGATTAGAGCTCAATGTATTTGATTCTTGCTGTAATGTGTTAATTGAAGGTCCTAGAGTGGTCCGGAGGTCATGTATATGTCTGTATGACTTTGAGAGTATATCTCCATATGATTAATCACATTTTCATCAGTGTGGTTCATGATGTTAAGAATTAAGTGACTACGCATGACTTCCAATGAGTAAATCAGTGTTTTAAATACTTAATTAGATCACGATAGTTACGCCTCAAAATTGATAAAATTGCTAATCAGAAGCCTACATTGTAGCACACTACACATACATTTTTCATCCATCTGTTTCGATTGTTTCTTCAAAACCTTCAGATTTCCCAAGGGTTTACTTCTAACTTTAGCATCCTTAAGATTAAACTTCTCTTAACACTTTCTTGATATACTTTTATGTTTGATTATGTTCATGCCAAAGTATTTCTCTTGCAGTCCCCAAATCTTTCATCTCAAATTTTGAGACAAGTGCCTCTTAATCTTTTCATTTCTTCATGTCTGATCCTATATAACAACAATATTGTTTATTATTGTGCAGAAACAGCCATATCAAGCATGATATTTTAGCTCCACTTTCTCAAAAAAAATGGTAAAATCCTACAACTTAACAAAATACCACAATTTCTTAAATTTTCCACACTATTAAAACAACATTTTTTTTTTTTTTTTTTTTTTTTTGTAAATTCTCAAAGGATCACAACCACTTAACCATTAAGACATTCATGGCCATAATGGCTGAACGAGACGCCGCCATCCAAGAACGCAACCTCGCGCTCGACGAACGAAAACGCGCGTTCGCGGAACGCGACATGGCGATGCTACAACGCGACGCCGCCCTAGCGGAACGCAACTCCGCCATGCAACAGCGCGACGAAGCAATCGCCACCCTTCGTTTCCAAGGCACCAACAATAACAACAACAACAACAACAACAACAACAACAACAACCACTTCATAATCTCAACACTCCCCGAAAACACACCAACCCAAGGGCAAAACCGTAATTTCACCAACCAAGAAATCCACCACATGTTCGAAATCCCCAACGACAACACATATCAAGTCCAAGTCCAAGTCCAATCCACCACAAAATCAAAATCGAAATCGCCAAGGGTTCGAAGACGAAGGGGCGAAAGTGTAAAATTCACCAATCAAGAAATCCATCACATGCTTGAAATCGGGGAAGATACGTACGAAGTCGAACCTCAATCCTACAAAACGAAGGGAGTGAAATCGCCAATGATCGGAAGACGAAGGGGTGAAAGTGTAAAATTGAAGGTTGAAGAATGGAAAGATGAATCGGAATTGAATCAAGTGAGTTTTGATGAATTGACAATGCCGGTTCCGGTGTGTTCGTGTACGGGGGTCCCACAGCCTTGTTATAGGTGGGGGAGTGGCGGGTGGCAGTCGGCTTGCTGTACAACCACCATGTCAATGTATCCTTTACCGCAAGTTTCAAATAAGAAGTATTCGAGAGTTGGTGGGAGAAAAATGAGTGGAGGGGCTTTTAGTAAATTGCTTACTCGACTTTCTTCGGAAGGTTATGACCTTTCTACCCCTCTTGATTTGAAGGAACATTGGGCTAAACATGGGACTAATCGTTACAGCACGGTGAAATAGGTGTTTCTAGGGGTTAAGTTTTAGTTTAGTATTTTGTTTAAAGGGAGGGTGAAAAGGTAATTTGGCATTGGCGATGTTACCTTTATGTTGTATGTGACGGAAAAGGGATATGGTGTAATTGTGAACTGTATAATTCTCTCTTGAAATCTATTCATGCATTTTCACATGTGGTGTGGATGTAGGTTTGCTTGTTTGGCGTGATGGAATGGAATGGCTAATTCCATTCTGGTTTGGTTGGTATTACGGAATGGAATGCCACATTCCTGATCCTTATAACTTGAACTGGCTTATTGATTAAAAGGTGGAAAGAATCATAACAATGTGAACAGAATTGACTCTTGAGTGCAACTGTGAAAGTTTGTTACTGTTTAGTGACATTGTGGGCAGTTTATTTGATTCGACCATGGTCGTCTCTCTCTCTATGTGGTTTTCCTTTATTTATTTATTTATTTATTTATTATTTATTATTTATTATTTTTGTATTAATAAAGATTTGACAACGTAAGTTTTATATAATCACATACGTTTTAACTATTGCCATAAGTGCTATTTATTTGAAAGTTAAATGACACTTTGATATTTTATTATTGGATATGGATAAAGTTTTTTACATGACTAAGGTGGCCAAATTGTATTTACTATAATTACAAAAGCAATACTAAATGAAAATCACATTTTATAAAAAACAATAATTATATGGTGATATGATCTATTAAAAGGATGAAAGGCTATTGTGGCCACCTAGCAAACTCACTATAACTGTGCACACCACCCTCCACCCTGGGGATGGGGATGGAGGTGACGTTGTGCCACAAACTACCCTGGGGACGGGGACGGGGTGACGTGGTGCCACAATCGTTGGCATCCATGATGCATACCATGAAAGACCACAAACAATTAGCACTTTCTTCTTTTCCCTCCCTCCCTTCTTTATATTTCGCAGCTCGATAGTTCCTCGACCTAATGGCCTAATATGACATTTAACATTTTGAGTGTATTTTTAACGAATCACACAAATGATCATCGTCCCCACAACCAGGGGAGTTTTTATATTTTAAAGAATGTGGTCATCATTATTTAAGGAAACGAGTTGACACGACACGACATAAAAGATAAACCGGTAAAGTTACTATTCACGTATCCCTTCTTGCTTCCATTACAAAGATACTCTCCCTGCTTGCTTCTGATACTCAGCCCGAGCTCCTCTCATGGTGTTTGCATCTCTTCTCTAGTTGATCAGGGATGACGACTTTAGGTCTTTTATCTTGTTAGTTTTTTTGTTTTGTTTGTTTGTGTCTGTTTTAGGGCCTGTCCCTTAGCTTTGTCTCTCGTTTTTTGTACTCTTTCTTATTTTTTTTTATTAATAATATTTGCCAAGGGGTGTTCCCCCGTTATCCAAAAGTTTTCAAACCGACACAAGGTTGTAAGCCATAGATTTACTAGGTCCAATTCAACACAATTTTGTTAATAACAATGTCAAGGAACGAGAGTTAGTATTGTATCCATGGAGAGATTATTATGAAAGGAAAATTTTGTAAGTACCCCTAAAGCCCAAATTGCTTCATATATACCCTTTTGTGAGTTAATATTGCTTGTGTCCCACTAATTTGACAATTTATTTGAGGAAGAGGTATCTATATAATAGGAGCACTATTTTCACTCTAACCTACCAATTTTTAAAATTAAAAGATTCTTATTAACTATTTGTACAAACACGATTAAAACTTTGAATACTACCTTGTAGTAAAGTCAAAAAGTGGCCAAAAGGGTTACAATGTTCATCCAAAAACTTGTTTATTATCCGATAGCGGCATAGCGCCATGGGATCATCGGAATAATATCAGAAGGCAAGGGGCTCGGCCATGGGATCATCGGAATCAACTCTTTCAAGTTCACAATTACAGGTACGCCAATCTCTAACCTAATCAATTAAACACAATTTATCAGAAATCGAATCATTTTCATCGCTCTATTTGTTTCTGCGAGGAAGATTGAAGATGGAATCACCACCGTCTCAGAGCGATTGGAAGACGTGGATCCCATGCTAGAGAAGCTTAGATCCCTAAAAATTGTGAGTCTTTATTATTTCCATTGACAAACACTAGAACTAAGTGACTTGAGCTTCTTCAATTCCTTCGTTCCACAAATCCTACAAGTGTTATAAAAGTATAAGAACTCAGATGTAAAATCAATTTGCGTCTATTTCTTCTGTTGCGAAAATGATAAATTCATCGCTACAAGTAGTCAATTTGTATTACTTCATTGAGAGTTTTATCTATCAGTTCAAAATCGACGCAACACCGAGGTGAATTTTGTTCCAATTTGGGAATAATCCAAAACAATCTGTTACCATAGCTGTTAATTCACAAACTGATCCTTCTGTTATGTGATACTACTCGATCAGGCAACTCCAATATTGACATCTACATCAACAGAGAGCAGCTTGACAGATATTTTGGTCAGGAAACCATCAACTTCTGATTCAGGTGCTACTGCTACAAGCCTTTATAAATCCAGTTTTCAACGAACACCTTTAGTCCTTTACATTTAACATCATAAAACAATAAATTATATTGATCTTCTTTCTTGTTCTTGAAATAGCCATTGTAGATCGGAAAGTGCTACTGGAGTTATTCTCAATGTATCAAGAATGGCAAGAAAAGCAGGCTCAAAACATCAACAAAAGACAGGTTTGCTTTTTATAACAGTAAATCCATGTTTGATAAAGCATGTTTTTTGACCTTTTTGATCAAATCATTCATGTCTAGTAAAGACCCCTTCACATCAAATCAAAAACTTCCATTAATGGTGTTAGATCCTGCTGTTGGTTGTTTATACAGGAAGAGATAGAAAACAAAATAGAACTTGCAGATGCTTTAGCTGTAAAAATTCTTCAAAGATATAATTACTCTCTCTCAGCAATGAAAACAACATCAAATCACCTTTCTGGAGGTACCCATTCTTTGCTACTTCACAATTTCTCAAATTTGTTTTATGAAATGTAAGGGTAAAATAGTCATTTAGTATTTGTGTTGATTACAATTTTTTTTTTAGTTGATGAGTTACAGGTGGCAATTGGGGAGTTGAAAGGAAGGTTAACTGAAGTGATTAGTAATTGTGATGGTTTATGTAAGAGAATATCTGATGTGGGACCCGAACCACTTCGGTCAACGGTCAAACCTTTTTCAGCAACCATGAGTCATGACCTTTCCTCCTCTACATTAAATGGTGTGTCATCTCAAGTTCTCAACTTTAACAATTAATCCTATTTGTTTCTTGTATAGTTTCTATATATTTTTACATTGTGATGTGATTAAATTTGCGTATCTTAATTACTCCATTTTATGGTGTGAAACATGTGATTAATTTAACGAATATGGATTATAATAACATGAGCTATCAATGGTGAACAACATCCAAAATTCGGTAACATGGGCAATGGTGTACTCACATACAAGAGATCATATATAGTTAACCTTACAAATTTCTTCTAAAAATCCATAAAAAATTGGTATAGGCTTTGAGTTAAATTCATAAAATTTAACAAATTCATGTATGATTGATAAAATAAACTTAAATTGACAGTTGAATCATCTGCTCAAGATCCCCATATCAGTGAACATAATAAGATAAGAATATGCACCTGATTAAATATTCATAACTTCGTTAAAATATTTTTTTCCCCAAAATAGCATTAAAAGAACAAAAACAATACGTTTCTTCAATTTTGGTTGTAATATCAACTTCATACAACAAAAAACCACAACAATAACAGATTTTCGGAATTAATTTGGGTTGTAATATAGAGCAATAGACTTGGGGGCTATTTGGCATGATTTGGATTTTCTAAGAGGGTTTGAATTTCTAAGATATGAATTTTTAAAATGTTGTTTGTTGGAATATTTAAATTGTTGTGATGAATTGTAAAAATGATCATTTTACTTTTCTGTATTTTTTTCTTGAATTCAATGCTTTTGTTTGTAAAATAAAGAACCAACTTCTTGACTGATTATAAAAAAAATATAAACACCATTAAAAATCAAAATTAAACACAAATCTATCCAATTATAACAATTAAAATTGCTTTGTTTTGGATGACATTGCTATGACTAAATAGATTTTTCAAAATACAATGCTCTAATAGGAAGATGTAAAAGTATGATGATATAATAAAGAAATCAGTAAAAATATTGCTATTACTTGCATTTAATCCTTACAAAAACAAGCTTGAAATAGGTATGAAAACATTCTAAACTGTATGCTTATATGGATCACATTACATATATACAACCTGATTCATTTACACATTTTGACAAGTACAATATCCGAACACACATAAAAACTTTAAATAAATCAAAAATTGAAACATTTCCATGATTCTATGTGTTTCAAATTGTAACGCCCCGAAAATCCAAAGTAAAATTTTCATTTTTAAAACAATAAAACACACGAGTTTTTTTTGTTTTTTTTTTTTTTCCAAAACCGATCAAAATGAATATATTATTAAAATAACAAAGTAATATCGTTAATTGCCAATGCATAAAACTCTGGGGGAATCTTGTGTAGTCACACCGGTCCCTTCCAATTTGAACCGAAAGTACCTGAAACCATAAATTTGAAATAGTAAACACAAAGCTTAGTGAGTTCTCCAAAATACCACATACCATAACATACAAGTGCCATGGGATACCAATGGTCTTTCCTTGCAATGCCGAGGGCCAAATCCCGGTGTTACATACAAGTGCCATGGGCTACCCCCATGGTCTTTCCTTGCAATGCCGAGGGCCAAATCCCGGTGTTACATCAAGTGCAATGCCGAGGGCCAAAAGTGCATATTTTTCAACTCAATCCATCAAGTGCAAGTCTCCAACCTTTAAATCAGAAGCAATATGATGTTTAGATGGATAAAGTTTCCAACTTTATCTATAACAAGGTCTTTCCTTGCAATGCCGAGGGCCAAATCCCGGTGTTACATACAAGTGCCATGGGCTACCCCCATG